TTTTTTTTTGCTTTTTTTGCCGTTGTAATCTAAGTCTACAATGTGAAACAAGAAAGCGACTCGTACTCTGTGTCAGTAGTCTTACTTCACAATCCTGAGGATGTTTTCTTTTTTTTTTCCTTCGTTCGCTTTTCCCTGCCTTAACGCTCACATCGATGGGGCCGTTGGCTGAGAAGCAGCAGCAGCAGCAGCAGCAGCGTGAGACTCCTGCTTGCCCCCAGGGTTCGCCGTGTCGTTCATTCGGGACGGCGATCGGTTCCGCAGTGACGGCTGGCGGCTGCCACGCGCCGGCGGCTCCTCGGGCTCCTGCGGCTTTGCTTCCTCCGCATTCTTCTCCGTGCACGGCTGCTGAGGCTTGCTGGCCTCCGCGGCAGGCATTCCAACGGCGTGCGGCGAGACTGACACCGAGGCAGAGCCGTCGTGCAGCTGCATGCCCATCAGCGTCGCCTCCATCAGAGTGTTGGTGCCGCGGCACGAGAAGGCGTCGTCCTCGTTGACGCTGAAGGCGAGATCATTCGTCACCTGGCGTGCGGGTGCCATGCTCTTCTTCCTCGTCTCCCCATCGCCACCATCGTCAGCCTCACCCCCGGTGTCTTTGCAGCTGCCGTTATGGTTGCTCCTGTCGGTGTTGCCGTCCTGTGCGTCAGGCGTGTCGCAGTCGTGTCCCAACGGCGACCACGGCTGAAATACGCTCGCGTCTGGCACCGCCGTTGTGTGCGGCTTCTGGCGTGCCAACGCAGCGATGTCGTGTGGGTCCACGAAGCTGTGGCCCGACACAGGCGTGCGCCGCAGACTGCCGCCGCCCACCAGCCCGCGCGAGAGCGGCAGCCCACCACCGCTGCCAAAATTCGCGTTTTTGCCGCAAATCACGGTGCGAAATTGAGAGGACGAGTTGGCAGTTGCTGCTGTGGGTGTAACACGAGTGATCAAACGCGGCTTGGGGTGCTGCAACGCCGTCGGGGTGGTCAGCGTCATACTCTGCATTGAAGAGTCAAAGGCAAGCGGCGATCCTTTCGGCACTTCGCCAAAGCTGATACTGCCCACTGGGGGTCGGAAGGACATGCTGCCGGACATTAGCGAGATATTCAGCTGCCGCGATGTGTCCGTAGTCGATACTGCCGATGACGGCTGCCGCGAGGGGCTACCCTCTCGCTGCGGCGTCGCGTCGCTGCAGTTCGTCGAGCCTGTCATCGTGTTGTAAGAGACGGACATGCCAATCCGCCCTGCGGCGTCGTCTGACACAGCAAACTGCTGCCTCCGCGATGGGCTGGCGGCGCGTTGGCGCTGCGTCGAGAGTGGCAGCGTGTCGACCGGTGTCACAGGCGCAGGGCTGCCGCCGACCACGTTGGTGGTGGGAAGTGACACCACCTGCACACGCCGCCAAGGGTTGGCGTTATCACCAATGGGCCGCGTCACTGCTGCTGCTGCTGTTGCTGCTCCTGCCACAGGTGACTCAGGTGGCCTGTCTGGGCGAGCCTCGCGACCCCTGCAGCCACCGCTTCTGTTACTGCTGTTGATCAGCAGTGGTGTGGTGGGAGTTGGCAGTGCGATGGATGGTGACATAGAATTCACCTGGCGCAGCGCACTGGTCCCCATCATAATCGTTTGGTCCATCATGCTGCCATCGAGCCGAATGGAAATGTTGGAGGCGCCGTTCCACGCCATCGGCGGCGCCGCAGAGCGGATGCTGCTGTCGCCCTCACCCACTGATGCATCGTCCCGCACTGGACGCCTCTCGCGGTCTTCCGCAGTGTCAGTAGCAGCAGCAGCAGCTGGAACCATGGGGATGGGGGATCGTGCCGGCACGTGGAGCGGCAGCGGGGAATCCTCCTCCACCACGAGCACTGGAGAAGGCGCCAGAGCGGAGGAGTCGTAGTCCTCCACTTGATCAACGTCTGTCGGCAGCCGAATCATCGGCGACCTGCCCGAGTTCATCACGGAGAATTCCGTCGCGGCCCCACCGGTGGTGGGCGAGTGGATGCTGTAGTCAGTGCCGGTGGGGGGCGGAGAGGCAACCTGTGTGGGTTGCTGCTGCTCAGACCCCCCCTGCGTGTATGCAGCATCGGTCCACCCCGACGGACGCTTTGCAACGGGTGATGCTTCACCCACAAGTGCGCCGAGAAGCACCGTTGCGGCGAAGCCGCCTGTTGTGCAAGTGTCGGTTTCTGTTG